CAAAAGCAGAAAAAAACTGACATTTCCACTCGCTGCAGTGACTCAACAAAATGCAGCCATGTCCTGAATGTCAGTCTAGTTTACAGGACTGTGGATGTGGATAAAGATGGAAGGCCGGTGACAGTCACACTGGTACTGACCGGGTCTGATGAGAGCTGGATCGAGCGTTTCTATCCGGTTGGTGGCCATGATAACTTTAACGTCTCCCCGCGAGTCGAAGCCGTCCAGCTGGTTGAGCAGCTCCAGCATGGTCCTCTGGATCTCCCTCTCACCACCGGAGTTAGAGTCGTACCTACGCAACACAGGCAGTGAACACACCATGTGAAAATCAAAGGCATCCCCTACATCGTCTCACGTCATTGGGCTTGCTTATGGTCTTCCATCAAACAGGCTTCATTTATACAGCTTAAAGTGAAGGCTGAGAATTAATAAAGATAAAAACTGGAGAATGTGCTGAACAAAATGTAGACCTTCATCGAGGAGAAGAGGAGGAGGAGGTGCACTGACTGTCGAAATCATAGTGCAGCCTAGTAACCTGCAGTCTGAGGTTCATACAACAAATGTGTAATAAGACAAATGATTGCAACAAAGTCTGTTTGTTGCAGTGATCTCACAGCTCAACAAGAGCAGCACATGCAGCAAGCAAAGAAAAGGAAAACAGTTACGATAGACACATGGGAGAGGATGGAAACAGTGACACAAACTGCTCAGAATTATTTTTATCCTTTAAAAACTTCTTAAGGTTTTACAAACAAATCGGGGAACTGTGCTGCTTTTAATGTCAAGTAGTGCCATATTTTCCTAGCAGCACTACTCTGCAGCCACCACTTTGTGCAAGCTGCCTGTGGTCATAGAAACACATTTCCTATTGCAAAGACTGAACTATTACAAGCTGCAGCAGGGTGAGAGGCAAAATGAAGTGTAAAACGTGTAAGAAAGGACTGTGCAGTGTAATTGATAAACTCAGCATCCTGTACTTGAGATGACAAAAACCCTGCAGCAGCACATCACCTTGCACTGTTAATGTGCTGTGAAAGTATATAAAAAACTGTTATAAATGAAAACGCCGCCATTTATCACACATACTAATCAACACCTTGGCGTCCCCTTCCAGCTCCTCGGCAGCACAGGTAAAACATCGCTGCGCCGATGCTTTCAGAGCTTCTTTTTACCTCTTTGTGCCGATGGCGTCGATCTCATCGATGAAGACGATTGAAGGGGCGTGCTCCTCTGCTACCCTGAAGAGTTCTCGCACCAGCTTGGGCCCATCTCCCAGATACTTCTGGATCAGCTCTGAGCCCACCACACGCAGGAAGGTGGCTGATGTCTGATTGGCTACAGCCTTGGC